GGGCAGGGTGGAGGGGGTCAATGGGGTGAAAAGGGGACATCTGTAATACTTTCAACAATAAAGACAAATTTAAAAAAAGAGAGAGACTATAAGCTTTATTATACCTGCGCCAAAGCCAGCAAATAGTACTGCAAACAAAACAGCAAAGCATTCATGGTGGATGGAGCAAACCTACATCAATGACAGAATCTGGGCCCAAGTCCTTTGCAGAAAATTTCCCACCTCAGCCTTCACATGATAGTCACTAAGCTACATAGCCTGAGTGACCTTGAGTCACATGTCCACCCACTCCAACCTCCCTACTTTGTCCCCTAGGCCAATCAAACCTTGTATTCCTCATGGTTTGTTTGGTTTCTTGTTTGTCTGTTTTTGAATCTTACTGTGTTTTGACATCTTAAAAAAAAACCAAAAAAAACTTTCTGCCTAGGGAGAGACTGCCCCTTCCAGGGCTAACCAGTTCTCACTGACACTAAAGGGCATGCTATCTGATATGCAAACTAACCAATCCAGAGCCCCACCTTCCCTATCTGGCCTGTAAGCCCCAGAAAAAATTTCCTCTGCCTTAATCATCCCAGGGCCTGCCAAAATTATTCAAACTAGCCAATCCTAAGTGATTTAGCTTGCCCTAACTGGCTTTTCCCACAGAAACTCCAATGAAGGCCATGGCCTAAGCGCTAGCCCAAGCACCCACCTCCACTCCCACCTCTGCCTCCTGACGGAAACCTGGTGTTGCTCATGTGTCTGTGCCTATGAGCAACATTAAACGTTTCTCTCAATAGCATTGACCTCCATGTGTTGTCACCCAGTCCCCTTCATGAATTAAGACCTGGACACAAAATAAACTTTTCCCACTTTTCCCTACCACTGACCACTTTTTCCTACCCAATTCCCCCATCCCCATCACTTTACATTCAGCCCCAGGGTCTCTCTACCTGCCCCTTGCCCTGACACTTACCCTTGATCCCTCCTTTCTTCCTATCTCCCCACACTGCCCCTTCCTCATTTCACACCGATCTCTGAGTTTTAGGAAAGGCACAGGACGTATGTTTAGATCCCTGCACCCTGAGTTGCACTGTCATCGCCGTGAAGAACACCTGCCACACTGCCACCTCACCTGCGCTCATCTTCATGACTGTTGAGCTGGCAGGGATTGGGGGGACATCAAGCTCAGGTCCTGTTTCTGTGCACTCTGGCTCTCTTAGTCTCCTTTTCTCTGTGACTTTAAACAAATCAAATAAATATTTTACCTCCTACTTGGAGGCAGATGAAAAATGTCCCACTTCACAGGGGAGACGTGAGGACACATTGAAAGATCCTCAAGCGTTTTGAGAACCTGCCCGGTCCAGGACAGAGGAAGCAGCATGGAGAGTGTGGGTGCACATTCTCATTGTAAACAGCTCATAACAGGCTCTCGGGACTGGGCCTTAGAAATGATTTCCTTGTGGTAGGGACTGAAAGGAAGCTGTGGTGTGGTCAGCAGTCACTTCAAAAGCAACCATAATGGAAGTAGCCATTAGCACTGCACTCCTGCTTGTGTCCAGAGCGCTTCAAATACAACATTTTCTTTATTCTGACTTTCTCATTTAGAGGCTTTCATATAGGATGCCCAATGATTGATACATGCTACAATGTGCATGAATTTTTTCATGGTAAAGCAAGAAAGCTATGAGAGATTTCTCTTATATTTTTAAACTTTCCCATGTTATTTGGCTGAAGGATATCATTGACGAACTTATATATGTAAATATGCCTTTGGAGTGACAAAAAGTCTAGCTCAAAATATAGTGTATAGTCAAGATGAGGGTATAGACACTGAGAAAAGCAGGTGATGCCACCTAGAAGGTCCATCTGTGTGACTTTCAATGCAACCATCTTAAGCAGGAGGAAAGGTTATATTTACTAAGGCAAAGAGTAGGGGACACTGTTTTTGAATTGGAATCAAAAAGGAGTCCGGGGGGCTTACAGGGCTCTGGATGACAACACTCTTAAGGCAAACCTCCTTGAGAGCGGTGGGATGGGCAGGAGGTTGAAGTTGGCAAGCCTGAATCTTCTGTTTCTGTTCTCCTGTACTCTTTACCAAGTTACTTCACAGAGTCAACTTAAATAAATAAAAAATGGCAGAATATAACTGCCATGGCTGGAATGTTTGTGGCTTCCCATCACTCCCCAAATTCATGTTGCAATCCTAATTCCCATAGAGGATGGTATTAGTCGGTAGGGCCTTTGGGAGGTGCTTAAATCATGAGGGTGGAGCGCTGATGAGTGGGAATAATGTTCTCGTAAAAGACCTCAGAGAGCTCCTGAGCCCTTTAACCACCAGAGGACTCAGTGAGACAGCGCTGGCTGAGAAACAGGAGTGGGGCTCTCACCAACACACAACCATGCTGGTGCTTTGATCTTGGACATTCAGCCTCCAGAACTGTAAGCAAGAAATGTCTGTTGTTTATAAGCTACACAGTCTAGGGTATTTTGTTCTAACAAAATGGACTGAGACATCTGCTAAGATACTTTGCTTCTATAACCTTGAGCTGGATGGATAAGACAATTTGACAGGGAAAGGTATAAGGGAGGAAATTTGGAAATGCAAACAGGCAAATCAAGCTAGATCCAGTTGTAGTCATTTCCCTCAGTTCCCAGTATCTTGCCAACATTCCTCAGAAGGAATGAAAGAAAACGCTGCACAAGTTTGTATAGACCCTGGAGAAATACCTTGCCTCTATTCCATGAACACCTTTTAAAAATATCTGTTTGTGTTGTGTGTGTTTCTTTCTCTGTCGTGCTCAATTTCCTAACACATAAGTGAGACCTACGGTAGTCACCGCATTTGCTTAACACAATTTCATGTCACTAGAGGTAACAGGCATTCATTTCTAGGATGTTGCAGGAGAAAGTGTTTTACTCTGGCTTCACAATAGCTCACTTGTACCTTGAATCCCCTGCCCCAGATCAACAAGGGTCTGCAGATCTAGGCCTTAGTTAAAGCACAGTGTCCCTCAAAACCAGGCCAAGTGGGGACCTGTGTCACTTGCACACAGACTGAGGTGTGTGCAGCCAGGAGGATGATCTGAGAAGCTTTATATAAAGAAGTCAATCAATGTGAGCAGACCACCGAAGCGAAACACCATTCTGAGGAACTGGCCAGAGAGAGTTAAACCTGGCACGGCATTCATTGGACACAATTGAAGGGGATCAGCTACCAGAAATTTAAAACAGAGTCTGATTTAAGTGCTGGCTGTCTGGCTGCTCTCTGAGAAGTTTTGACTGTGTGTCAACCTATCTAAGCCTTAGTTTCCTCATCATGGACATAATGACAGCTTCTACCTCAGGTGTTATAAAGACAAAATGTGATAATACATGCAAAACAGGCACTTGATGTTTTGGTACAGAGTAAAGGCTTAGTATATTCTGGGTGTTAGAATTACTACTATTGTTATTGTTATTTACTCTGAACAATGGGGAGGGTGGATATACCCATTTTTATAGGCTGTTCATGTACTGGGTATAGCAATGAGGGTTTAAAAAAAATTTTTTTGAACAAATACAAGATCCTGACACAAGCTGACACCCAACTGTCATCCTATATTAAAAATGAGGAAACTGAGGCCAAAAATTAAGAAACTTTCAAAGGGTCACATAATAAATAAATAGCAGAGTTAAAATTCAAGCCTGAGTAGTTTGCTTTGTCTTGAGAGCTGAACACTTCCAACATAACTCGTAGCTTCTTAGAACCATCCACACTACTCACATTTCCCCAAATATGATATCTTTCTTTTTAGTTTCTGTCTAGAATGTCCTTTTTCTCCTCAAACAAATAAACTTAATCAAGCTTCAGTTTACAGGTCCAATGTTATCTTATTGGATCCTTGTGAGGCCTTTTCTAAGGCTACCAGGAAAGTGAGTCTCCCACCACTGAGCTCACATCTACCAGAGTCATAACACTGGGTCTGGGGTTTGGCTGGGTGTATTGTCCACTCCTTTGTACCAGGGCTCTTAACTTGACGTCCATGGAAAAGCATCAGAGGGAGGTCTGCAAATCAGACATATGGATACACACGTGAACACACAAGGAGACAGAAGTGCCCACACACATAACCAGCAGTGATTTTATGCGATTTTTCCAAATTGTCTTGGTAAATACATATTTTTATGTCTATTATGGCTGCTCCTGTAGACAAGCACCATACACTCATCAGTTAGTCATGATCTGTCAGCACAGCTTTCCATTAGTAAGAATTTTTAAATATGTGCCCTGCCATTATGATGATGAACATCTGTCTTTGTTTACTTCGGGATTGACTTAAGCTAGAAAATGTCAAAGAAAATAATAAAGAAGAGATATCAAATGTCTGTTGGCATTGCTTTTCACCGTGTGTAATAAAATACCAAAGACCCAGTGCTTTTTGTGTAATAATGTTCTTGCCAATGGAAGGATTATGAAGCTAAAAATGCTGATGTAGTAGCTCATAATTTGTTGCAAAGATATATTAGTGTAGATGTTTTTCAAGAAAAGAAGGTTGGAGTTGAAAAGGCAAGACTTTACCAAAATTTGGTCTGCCCTGATACAGCAGCCTAGTCTAAAAGTAGCAACAACATAACTTGTAAAAGTCGCATACCTCAAAAATGGTCAAGTTAGTGTGTGGTTTAAGTCAAAAGAGGCAGGTTAAAGAAGTCCCCCTAAAAAATAAAATTATTCTATGATGGTTGACTTTTCAAAAATAATATTTTGAGTCATGAGATGGAGGAATTTCAAACTTCTCTGTGCAGCCAGCTGATGCCTTAGATTTCTATTTAACATGTCCTATTTGAAATTTCAAATCCATCAACACCTTTGAAATTCTGAAAAGTTTCTTCTACAAACCAAACCCCTTGGGTACCTTGTGAACAGATGGAACACCTGTGGTGCTTGGTAACACCACTCAGAGGAAGCATCTTTACTCAGTAAGCTCCACAGCGTATGGTCCTGCTTGTCTACAGCAAAGTGACAACTTTGTTAATGCTAGGGCCTTGACTCATTGACTTTTCATAATGTTTCCTCATGAAATGAAAGCAGAATATGAACATCTTCTCTTTTACACATCTGTGATACAGAAATACGCCCAACTTAAAACTCCACATAACTCTAAAGTCCTTCTGCTTAGACAACCTGAAAATTGGAAAAAAAAAAAAAAAGAAACATGTTTCTCCATCCTTCCTTTGCTGACCTCAACAGCATCTCCTCGTGGAAGATGAAACTCGGCGATGCAAAGCCTGCAGAAGTTAAAGGATATAAATTGAATTCAGATAATCCTAGAATATCTTGGTGTTCCCTTGTCACTAGCCCACTGTGCCATCTGTGAACATGAAGTGATGCTATTTGCTACAGCATGCTGTTGTGAGCCCAGCTTTTCAATGTGCATTACCATCAAGACAGAAAGTGTGCAGCAATGTGCATGTGCTGCCAGGCCAAAGACCCCTTGGGAATTTCAGCTTCTCATGCAAGCCAAGGGAGAGATGTCTTCTCATTGACATTTATTTTTTAGCACAACCAAAGTTTATTTTTTAATTTTATTTGTACACTTTGGGTTCTTTTCTTCTTCCTATTTTTTAGACCATTGCCTGAAGTTAATTTTGCACATTAAAAAGGATGGGAAAGGCACAATTTTTTATAAAAAGTATTTTGATCCAATGCAACAAAAAGTTGTGTACATAATTTTGCTTCCAATCTTATGTCAATATCTCTGCTTTCACCAGATTCCCAAAGCCTCCATGATGCCCAAAAGGTTAAGAACAATAGCATGAAATTATAAATACCTTGAGTCAGGGCCATCTTTGTAACCCGCCACCTGCACACTGTACCCAATGAGTGACTGAGTGCTCATTACACTGGGGGATGTTGGTCATGCTAGTCATGGTTTTTCCACTTCTAAAGAATATTGACCAAAGGGTCAATATTCTAAATTAACAGGTATACCCATCAATTTCAACTTTAAAACTGAGTGGAATGTAAATCTTTATTCCTTATCAATAGAAGGAAAAAAATCTTATTTATTAAATATCTTTCTTTTAAATTGGAATAGAAGGATCTGACTGGAAGGATGAAAAACAAAAATGAATTTCCTTTGGTTTATACCACAAAATAGTGGGGGTAGAATATGTTTCTTGTACTGAATTTCCACACTGAATTCATCAAAGTCTTTAACAATAAAGTAAATATCATTAAGGTATTGATATTGTTATGGGGCAAATTATGTCCTTTCAAAATTCGTATGTTGAAGTCCTACCTCTAGTACTTCAGAAAGTGACCTTATTTGGAGGCAGGGTCTTTAAAGAAGTAATTAAGTTTAAATAAGGACATTAGGTTGGCTTTAATCCAATATGACTGGTGTCCTTATAAGAAGAGGAAATTTGGACACAGAGAGGGACAGATGGAAGACACAGGGAGAAGACATCCATCTACAAGACAAAGAGAAAGACCTGGAACAGGTCCTTCCCTTAAGGGCCTCATAAAAACATAATCTTGTCTACACCTTGACCTTAGACTTCTAGCCTTCAGAACTGTGAGACAATAAATTTCTGTTGTTAAGGCACCAGTCTGAGATGCTTTGTTATGGCAGCCCTAGGAAACTAATACAGATGCACTGAATAAATTCCAGGCAAAGGCAGTGAAATCAGGCTCGGGTACCTGGGGGAAACACTGAGCCTGGACACAGAAGCAGACATGGTAACTAATCCCCATGGTCAATGCCTAGGGAAAGGACCTAACATAGATTGGTAACTCTGAGGTTCAAAGTTTTAAGTACCTTCATCATACATTAAATCTATTTGATAATGTGATGCGTCTGGTGTAGGAGTCAAGATTTATGAGCTATTTAGTTCTTTTATCACAAAGAGAAATTTAAAATGTAAAGTTTCAATATTAGGGACAGTAAAAGAGAAGGGCATATAAGGGCCGATTAAAAAGGAAATCCTTGCCTTCCTGGGCCACAGCTGCAATGGACTTTGCTGACCTGCTTCTCCTCTGGCCTCTTGCAGGCATCTTATCAGTTGCTTTTCCCCACCTTCATTCGCACCCACAGAGGACGTCGGTGTTCCCTGGCTTCTGTCCCTTTACATGCTCTCCTGTGGTTTCACCCACTCCCCTGGTTTTAAATGGGCTTGGAATCCTGTTATCCTTCAAACTTGAGTTTCCATCCTGGCTCTGCCTGTTAGTTCCCAGCAGGTTACTTTGGAAAAGTTGCTCAGCCTTCCTGAGGTTTGAGTTTATTTAGATAATAATATCTAAAGAAGTAATAGCCAGGTATTATCACCTGGGAGCATCATCATCACAGGGAGTTGGGGAGATTCAGTGAGAAATTGCCTGTAAGCTATTCACACAGGCTGGGCCCTGAACAAGTATTCAATAAACAAGAGCTAAAATTAAAATAACAATACAACAAACCAACATATGGGGCTTATTATGTGCCAAGAACTGCTAAAATCTTTACATATATAGATGAGGAAACTAAGGCACAAAGAATTATGTAACTTGCCCAAGCTCACACACTCAGCAAATGATGGACCTAGAAATCAAATTCAAGTAGTCTGGCTCGAGAGACCATCTTCTCAAACTGTTAGGCATACTATATCTCTCTAACTATTACTTTTCATTATTATTATTATTTAATTTTTCCATTGCTTTTTTAAATTTTTATTTTATTTTATTATTTTTTTAAAATATATCTTTATTGATTTCAGAGAGAGGAAGGAGAGGGAGAGAGGGAGATAGGAACATCAATGATGAGAGAGTCATTGATCAAGCCCGCAACCCGGGCATGTGCCCTGACCGGGAATCGAACCCCAATCGCCTGGATCCTAGGTCGATGCTCAACCACTGAGCCACACCCGGCTGGGCTCCATTGCTTTTTTTTAGAGAGAGTGGAAGAGTGGCGGAAAGGGGAGAGAGAGAAACATCCATGTGAGAAAGACACAGTAATTGGTTGCCTCCCACACTAGCCCCTACCCAGGACCGGGGATCGAACGTGCAACCCAAGTACCCGCCCTTGACAGGGAATCGCACCCAAGACCTTTGGTGCACGGGCCAACACTCTAACCACTTGGGCCCCACTGGCAACGGCTTACTTTTCATTATTAATGACACAGTCCTATCCTTTCCCTTGAGCCTCCAAATCATATGATTTTTTTAAAAAGTAAAAACTGCGGATACTCCATAGGTACGTCAGATACAACATGCTCACACGAGCCCCCAACCCTGCTCTCCATCCGTGCTCCTTTCTAGGGAGTGAATGATGACATCCAAGAAACCTGGTGTCTCAGTAGGTTGCTTGTTTTCCCTTTTAAGTAAAAAACAATTACAAATACATTTTACTTAATATATTATTCCTCAAAATGGAGTTTCAAAGCCAGTTTTATGTATTTTTTTAAAATTCTTATAAGAGTTCATTTAAGCCAAACTGACAACATACACCAGGGAGCAAGATCTCAAATGCCCCTTAAAGCCAAATGAAACTAAATCCTCTAATAGAGAAAAAACTCTGGAAAGTAGTAAATTCTTCAAATAAATACTGATCATTGTTTAATGCCTACTATTTTTATGACAAGCACCATGCTAGGTAATTTTGTTTATTTTCTCTAATCTTCTCAAGAGCTGGCCTTCCACAATTGCAGAAACAAATTCAGAGAGATAAGTGACTAGTCCAAAATCAATTTAAAATACACTTCTTATTAAAGAGTTATTTGCCAAAACTGTATGAGGCTCTATGGCTGTATGAAAACAAATATGATTCAGTGGATAGGTGAATTTGTAGCTCCTAGTGATTGATTTACTTTAAAAAATATATAATAATAATGAAAGTTGAATGCCACATCAGAAATACATAGGCAGAAGAAATAAAATGTTCTTTTAATACCATGTCTTTTGTTTCCTGTTTCTAATAATCTGTTGATATCTGCAGAGATATATCTTAATTTTCAGAACTTGCAACAACCTCTTAACAATAGAATTTTGGTATAAATGAGAAACAAAACAAGGTTTCCTCTTAAGAAAAAATT